GTACATAAAACCAGCTCCTAGGAATGTCATCTGTGCATATTCAGTTCTACCTACCTTTAGGTAAATAATAAACAAGTTTGAACTATGCCTCTCCATTCTAAATTCATTTGTTGAATCTAAACTCCCAGTTTACCACATAATAAGACTGTATTTGGAACCTGGACCTTTAAAACAGTACATAAGGTGAAATGATATCCTATGGGTAGACTGTAATGCAACATGCAACATGACTGTTGACCCCGTAAGAAAAGAGATGCAGACAGACACACACACACACACACACACACAAGACCAGGTGAAGACAGAGTGAGGAGGCAGCTGTCTGCAAGCCAAGGAGTGATGCTTCAGGAGAAACGAAATCTGTCAACACCTTGATCTTAGACCTTCAGCCTCCAGAGCTGTGAGAAAATTATTTTCTGTTTCCTATAAGTCACTCAGCTTTTGGTATTCTGTTATGGTTGCCCAGTAGAATAAACCACTAGGCTAATCCTCATACAAGTAGATATTCTGAAAATTAATAATTTTAACACGCATGATAATACCTGTAAATGTATTTTAATACATACCTGGGATGGAGTTGGGGAGAAACATAAGTTTCCCTGGGAATATAGGTATGGGTAGCACCAGGTAGAGTCAAAGGGTGTGGTCAACATCCTCTGCCCCCAAAGAGAGGGCCAGCATTGTGGTGTAGTAGGTTAAACTGCTGCCTGCAGTACCAGCATCCTATAAAGGCACCAGTTCGAGTCTTGATTGCTCCACTTTTGATCCAGGTCCCTGCTAATACATCTGGGAAAGCTGTGGAAGGTGGTCCAAGTCCTTGAACTCCTGCCACCGACGTGGGAGACCCAAAATTAGCCCCGGGCTCCTGTCTTCGGCCTTGGCCCAGCCCCTGCCATTGCAGCCATTTGAAGAGTAACCAATGGATGGAAGATCTCTCTCTCTCTCTCTGTCTCTCCTACTCTCTCTCTGTAACTCTGACTTTCAAAATGAATAAATCTTGTGTGAAAAAAAAAGCAGAAAAAAAGAGGCTTTACATGGTAGCTGCAATGTGTGTGATGGTAGCAGTTCTTATCATCATTACAGTCAGGAGAGCTCGACTGAGAGAGAACAGGTTAGTAAAGAGAGAACCATCATTGCAGTCAAGAGAGAACAGCTTAAAGAGTGGGACAGCTGAGCCCTGAGAACCCAAGTTAAACTTCACTCACTGCACTAAGCAGAGCCATTGGTATTGTCCAGTTATTCAACCCCATTCAATCCGCTGATACAACCACCTCAGCATCAAATAGCAAAGAAAAGCCTACAAACTTTAGGCAAAACCACCAAAAAATTACAAACTTTCTAAAAATGAACAATGTTTCTTATAAGCTTAAAAAATCTATTTGAACCTGTAAAATGTGATTACCTATATAACTCTTGAAATACTAATAAGCTGAATTTTCTGGAAAGCAATTTGGAAATGAAACCTATGTGAATTACACTTCCTGGAATTTATCCTAAAGAGATGATCAGGAATGCCTACAAATTTACATATAAATATTAGGAATAGTTATGTGTATTTTTAAATAGAAGCAAAAACACCAAAAACATACTATTTTTTCTGTATTATGAAACACCAGGTGGTTTTATTTATATTTACATTTTTAATTAAAGTGTTTCAAATGTTCTACAATAACCAAAAGTTACACTTGTGAATCGGCAAATAAAAACAAATAAGTATTTTTACAAGATTGCATTTTTAGAGTTATGATCATAAATGGGGTAAATTATCTGGATTCTTTCCTGTCTTAGATTGTCCTTTTGGAAAATAGGGTCACAAAAATTAGTTTCACTTAAACACACAGCAAGTAGATTCAATCTAGACATGAAAATTTGACATCTATTACAGACAAATTTATTGTGAATAGGTGAATGTGAATCCTTGCTTCTCACTTCAGAAAAGGAGCAGCTCTCATTTTCCATGAGCTGAAATACATTCATCTGACACTAAGGGACTCATGGGAGAGATGCTTTTGAACTGAAGCTACAAAATATCTTTCGGCCAATAAGAAACTATCTTCTGGGATATTTGGGCTAACTATATAAGAGAATAATAACTTAATCTCTAGACCAAAGGGGTGGTTGGTGAACTTGTGCAACATGAAGAAGAAAAAAAAAAAAATACACAGCCAGGCAGGTCTCAATGCTGCCAGAACAAATTGTGAGCAGAGCAATTTCCCAAAACATTTGTCCTGTGATCATCAGAATCATCTGGAAGGCCTCTACAAATGCAGGTCTTTGGATGTCATCACACTGGGTCAGAATCTCAGCGACCAAGGGACAGTAGGTTTGACTGATTCCCTAGACACGTCTGATAAAGGGAGACTGTGAATCCTATTGTTCAAAAGTAGTGAAACATACAAATGGTTGAGTGTTAATTTCCCAAGCTACTTCTAGATAAACTATTGCCAACCCAAACCTTGCTAAAATTATAAAAAAAAAGCAATATACTTCACTATATATGAACTTGACCATCTTTTCATTTGATTATTGCTTAAAGCCCTCATGTATTTTCCTGGTCAACTGTGGTCGTTTTACTTTTTATTTGTTGAACTCTTTATTTAGTGGAGCATTAAGTCTTTATTATGTGAATTAAAATGTTATATCAAAAATAATAAATATTAAGTTTAACAAAAGACAAGTTATTTATGTTTTGAAAGAACTACAGAGAGAAGGAGAGACAGAGAAGAAACAAATCTACCATCTGCTGGTTCATGCCCCAAAAGGCCACAATGGCTGGGATGGGACCAGGCCAAAGCCGGGAGCCAGGAACAGCATCAGGGTCTCCCACACAGGTGAAAGGACTCAAGAAGTTGGGCCATCCTCCACTACCTTTACAGGCATATTAGCAGAGAGCTTGATTGGAAGTGAGCAGCTGGGGCATGAACCAGCATTCATGTGGGATGATGGCATTAACAGGTGGCAGTTTAACCCACTGTGCCACAATGCTGACCCCATCCTAAAGAGATCTTTTAAAAAAAAAAAACTTTTATTTAGTAAATATAAATTTCCAAAGTACAGTTTATGGATTACAATGACTCCCCCCCCATAACTTCCCTCCCACCCACAACCCTCCCATCTCCTGCTCCCTCTCCCATTCCATTCACATCAAGATTCATTTTCAATTCGCTGTATATACAGAAGATCAATTTAGTATATATTAAGAAAAGATTTCATCAGTTTGTACCCACACAGAAACACAAAGTGTAAAATACTGTTTCAGTACTAGTTATAGAGTTAATTCACATTGGACAACACATTATGGACAGAGATCCTACATGAGGAGTAAGTGCACAGTGACTCCTGTTGTTGACTTAACAAATTGACACTCTTGTTTATGGCGTCAGAAATCTCCCTAGGCTCTAGTCATGAGTTACCAAGGCTATGGAGGCCTTTTGAGTTCGCCCACTTCGATCTTATTTAGACAAGGTCATAGTCAGAGTGGAAGTTCTCTCCTCCCTTCAGAGAAAGGTACCTCCTTCTTTGATGGCCCCGTTCTTTCTACTGGGATCTCACTCGCAGAGATCTTTCATTTAAGTGTGTTTGTTTGTTTGTTTTGTTTGTTTGTTTGTTTTGCCAGAGTGTCTTGGCTTTCCATGCCTAAAATATTCTCATGGGCTCTTCAGCCATATCTGAATGCCTTTAGGGCTGATTCTGAGGCCAGAGTGCTGTTTAGGACATATGCTATTCTATGGGTCTGCTGTGTATCCTGATTCCCATGTTGGATCGTTCTCTCCCTTTTTGATTCTATCAGATAGTATTAGCAGACACTAATCTTGTTTGTGTGATCCCTTTGACTCCTAGACCTATCAGTATGATCAATTGTGACCTGAATTGATCACTTGTACTAGTGAGATGGCATTGGTACATGCAACCTTGATGGGATTGTATTGGAATCTCCTGGCACATTTCTAACTCCACCACTGTGGCAAGTCTGATTGAGCATGTCCCAAATTGTACATCTCTCTTAATGAAGAATCACCTTTCACTTCAATTGACCTAAAATAGTATCATACCTGATACTGCCAACTAATGTAACTTCTTTCCAGACAAAAGACAGACAAATGTTCCATGTTGAAACCCTAATATGGAAAGCTGCTCTCAGTAAGCAAGCCAACAATATTAGCTAGTTTAGCAAGATTTATTTTTACAACTTAGGGCTGGGGCTGTGGCATAGTGGGCTAAGCCTTCACTTGCAGCGTCAGCATCCCATATGGGCACCAGTTTGTATCCCAGCTGCTCCTCTTCTAATCCATCTGTCTGCTATGGTCTGTGAAAGCACTAGAAGATAGCCCAAGTGCTTGAGCCCTTGCACCCAAATGGGAGAATCAGAAGAAGCTCCTGGCTCCTGGCTTTGGACTAGCCCAGTTCTGACTGTTGTGGCTACTTGAGGAGTGAACCAGTGGATAGAAGACCTTTCTCTCTGTCTCTTCCCCTCTGCCTATAACTCTCTCAATAAATAAATAAAAATCTTAAAAAAATTAAAATATGGCTCTCATTTTCCTCTGAGAAACAGAAGCACGACACAGAGGAGTAGTAAAAGAGTAAGTGGTCTCTTCTGAAGCACATGGACAAATGCATAGAGAACTCAAGTACAATTCATATGAATACCTGATTATGGAACGATTTCCTGAGATTTTGCTCATCTTTCTGCCAGGTATTTCAGAAATGAAATGAAAACAGTGTTCTCGGGAAATATTAACCATCTTCAGTCTTTACGGTATTTTATTAAGTATACACACACTTTTACCTCTCAAGGTAACCAAGAGTCAAAGAATTGAAAACAAATGAATATTTTTTAAAAAGGCAAATATTTGTTTCTTTATTACCCTCACATTGGATTGAAATGACTTCCCCAACCTACTCTGAACTCTTTTCTTTGCAAGGGATAAGGTAACTTGCCTTTTGGTAAGAACATGCACCAAGGAGCAGATTCACTAAGCCAACTTTATTAATTCACTCACCACACAAGACTGACTGATCCTTTTGTTCCCGATGGTTTTCTTACTGAAATGAACATTAATGGTTTCTTGGAACTCAGAAACTGCTGAAGAGCCATAATTAGCTTTAGAGACAAGAGTAAACAGGGGCATGATAAGTCAATTTGCCAAGTTGAACAAACATTAACACCTCAAGTTAAGAAACCCCCAGAAGGCCAAAGCATGAGTTAAATAAAATATAGCATGGATAAGAACAAAAGTATCAGTAGAAATAATCTACTAACTTTACTAACATCTGTGTTATTGATAAACAATAGCAGTATTTCTAATGATTACTTAAATTCATAAATAATTCTCTTTGGTGCAGTTTTTCCTTCTCTCTCTCTCTCTCTTTTTTTTTTTTTTTTTTTTGTAATGCAGTACCCTGGTTCTTCATTTGGTTTGCTTCTATTGTCTCAAAATAGATTTTTAATAATTCTATTTTTCCCATAATATCTTCTATCCTTTCTTTCAGTTGTTTCCTATGTTTTATAGTTAATATTTTTCTAAATCTCTTTATGTCCTGTCTGTTTATTATGTTTCATATTTTTTGTATGTTTCATACTTTTAATTATTTGGATGCTATAGGCAAAGTAAAGGTCTCAAAAATGTTCAACATCAGATAATTATATTCCCAGGGAATAAAAGTTTCAGTGTGCTTTTTCTGTCATCTCAGAACTAGATCCAAAGCTAAAACACAACAAATACATTGAATTTTTAAAGACGAGATCAGTGATAGCAGAGGCCAGCAAAAACAACCCTCCCCTCCTCATGGCCTAAGTGGTGAGTCCCCACCACTCCTATCTTGAAGTCCTAACCCCCAACACCTCAGAATGTAACTGTATTTGGAGATAGGGTCTTTAAAAGATGTAATGAAGTTAAAATCCACTCATCAGAGTGGTCCTAGCCAATGTAACCATGATCAGACACAAAGAGGAAATCAGGACACAGGACACAGAGGGAAGACCACAGGACACAGAGGGAAGACCACGTGAAGACACCTAGACCAATGCAACGGGTCTTGGAAGGAAGCAACCCTGCTGACACGTTGATCTCTAACACCTAGCCTGCAGAACTGTGAGAAAAATAAATCGTTGTTGTCTCAGTCACCCAGTCTGTGGTACTTTGCAATGGAAAGACTCCTAGTCAGTGTCTAAGACCCTCTCTGTGGGGAGGGAATAATGAGAAACAGTTTTATGGGGATCAGTGCTCATGAGGAGAATCCCACAGGAGAAACAGAAGGAGAGTACTCCTCCCTCCTTAAACAACTCAGAGGGCCGCTAGGATAATCATTCAAAAAGCTGGAGGAGAAGAAAAAACTTGTATTTTGTTCCTCTGCTTGATTTCTGCTTTGGCACTCACCTTGTCTGTTTCTGCTTCTCTGGGCAGGGCTCATGAAAACTGACAATAGATGTAGGACTGAGAAAAAACTCCCTGGTAGTTTAATGTTTGTACTACCACTGGGAGGGGCAAGGGTTTGTGAGCTGTCCATGGGGGTGGGGATGTATGTACTCCACTGGAGGCTGCCAGACCTGTGACATACTGCTGTGCCCTTCCACAGAGCCTACAGAGTAGAGCAGAGAGGGGAGAAGCTAGTCATGTTAGAGCCTCAACCTGCATATCAGAGAAAGGGGGACTTAGGAGCCTCCTTGGCTCTTCCAAAGTATCCTTGTACTCAACAGGAACAGGACAAGCAACATCTGGCTGCTGACTACTCAGAGACAGCCCAATGGATAGGCACTACTGAAATTGGAATATGCCCCCTAAAATATGATATCAGACTATGGCTCCCTAAGAGTCCCCCAAAAGTCCCATCTGGAGTGCTATATGAAATCAGAATATGAAGTGCCATTTGATATCACCATACGCTTATTAATAAATTCTCAATATTAACAAGCCTCTGTGGGTTCTTGCCTAATATTCAGAGAAGAATTCTGAATACCAGCATAAATGAACAAGGCAGTATGATACATTTTTTGAGCTTTTATTCAGTAAGAGAAATGCATAGGAGAGTGAGGGTCCTATCTAAAAGAGAGAGGTAAATCTGGATTCATGCGGAGTACCAGGAACCAGCTGCAAGGAGAATCATCTAGGCAAGGAAGCATGGGGCAGGTGGCCCTAAGGCCACACGCCCTGGAGGTGCTGGGCCACAGCAAGCCCTGCACTGGCAAAACACCAAAGAAAGGAAAAACGGGGCGGGCACACCGTTTCCCACGCTATTAATCTACTTCCAAAGGGGAGTGGTTAATTAGCCTGATTGGCTGGTAGGCACACAGGTGTGGCCAGGTAGGGGCATGAGGTCTCACAGGGACGTGGAGAAGGCATGGTCTTCCAGTTCACAAACCTGATCAATTTTATTCTATATGCCTGCTTACAACACTATCAGCCAAGAAAATGGTAAAAAGAGAGGTCTGGGTCTCACTTAGTTACATGATGAGCCATGACCTTTTCTCCCCATGTCCTTCTGGCAGCAGTACTGAATGAGCTGGCACAGAAAAGCAGAGAACAGATGTGCAAATAGTGGTTTAGGACCCACCTCCAAGCCCCTTAGGTCACATGTGAAGATTGTACTGGAAAAGGGAGGACGTTCTCAGTCAGAGAGGAGAGTGAAAGTTCAAACTGGCCTGGCTAAATTATTTATAAGTCAAAATAATCAGAAGGGTAAGAGATGTTACCATAACCTAACAAAGACCTAGCAAGGAGAACGTGAGAGAGCACAGCTGAAAATGGTAAGCAAACAAAGAAAAAAGTCATTCTCAGGCCCAACCAAAGTGTTTCTTCAAAAAAAGCCTTCTTAACAAGGCTCCTCCATGAAAAGACAACATGAGACAGCAGTTTCAGGTACTCATGTATTGGCAAAAGGTCATAAATAACTTTTTAAAAAGGTAGACATTGAAAGTTTAAAATCATTTTTTTTAAATCATGAATTGACAGTTTCTTTGAAATGTATATTTTCTCATTTTAAAATAGCCTTCTTTTCTCTCTCAAAGTATTGAGTAGTACACAATGAGTATTTTAAGAATTAAAAGATTAGGTTTATCTTATGACAGCACTTTTGTGACATGTGATAACCTATACCCAGAGTTAGAATCACTGACACAAAGACTCCCTCAACGGCAGGCATCTGGCACAGAGGTTAAGTCACCCACATCTTACATTAGAGAGCCTGGTTCGGGTCCTGGCTACTCCATTTCTGATTCAACTTCCTGCTAATCCACACACTGAGAAGCCGCAAATGATGGCTTACATGCTTGGGTCCCTGCCACCCTCATAAAAGACTCAGCCTCAATGCCAAGCTCCTGGCTTCAACCTGGCCCATCCCTGACTGTTGAAGGCATTTGGGAGCTAAATCAGAAGATGGAAGATGTCCTTCCCCCTCTCTGCCTCTTTTTCTATTTCCCTGCCTCTCAAATAAAATTTTTAAAACTCCCTAAAACAGATATGCAGCCAAAATCAGCTATTAATTATTAAGTACAGTCAGACCTCTGCACCCATGGGCTCCATCTCCATGAACTCAACCAACCACAGATAGAAAATATTTGGGGGAAAATGTGGTTCTACTGAACTCCTTTCTCTTGTCATTATTCCCTATTAATACAGTATTTACACTGGATAAGGTATAAGTAATCTAGAGATTATCTCAAGCATATAGAAGGTATTTGAATAGACATACACAAATACTACAACATTCTTGAGCATCCACATATTCTAGTATTCAAAAGTGGTCCTGGAACCAAGGGACATCAGCATTTACCACATGCCAGAATTCAGGGTACTGAGAATTTGGCAAACACCTTCCTCGTAATCCTAACCACAATCCTATGAGGTCAATTTTATTATCTTCACTTTATAGATCAGCAATGATGTATTTGTGCCAGCTAATGAATCTACTGTTAAATATTCAGGAATTTTGCAAGCCACTGCCATCAGGAGCTTAACACTGCATAGCAGAAACAGCTACACCATGGAAAATAGAAAAATGTTAAAATCAGAGTTCCCAGATCCTGGATCCCAGCTCATACTGGCACATCTCACACAGCCAAGGAAACCGAAGCTCAGAGAGTTTCAGATGTTTGCTGTGCTCACAGATCTGGAAGTGGTGGAGTCACACTTTGCACCGTCCTGGTGTTCCAGGTACCCCAGCACATGGTCTCACACACGGTGCTCTCTGTACACATGTCAGTATTTCTAGTATTACAAAAAGTGGGCAGAGCAGCCTGTCACAATTAAAGAGTTCTTTGGCAGATCTAGAGTTTCATGCTCTGCATTTCTCAGTGTTTCTCCTCCAGCACATTATACTCTGAAGACCCTTTCTTCTTTGATCACTCGGGATGCCCTCTGTCTAGCAGCTGACGGGATCTGGCAGGGGAAGTCCAGCGCCTGTCAGTGGAAGAGGAGCGGTGGGCGTTAACAGCTTCCCTGCATTGTTGCCCTTTTCATCCAAGCTTTGTCTGCCAAGAAAGAGAGCAGCATCTGCTCTCCGGGTGAGCAGATGATTATACAAGACCCACGCTTTTACATCAAAGAAGTCTGAATCTTAAAACCTTTTGTGTGTGCGTTGTGTATGATAGTGTTCAAGGTCCTGCATTTTTAAAAAGCAAGGAGGGGTTCATTTCAAAATGTAAACATGCTAAAAGACCTGCAGAAACAATGAGAATTTTTAATATGTGAAGAATAATTTTTAAATAATTCTCATTGCCTTACCTAACATTATATCCCAGATTTTGTTTTTCCATATTAAAATCCTGGGGGAATATTTTATGAGCTCTGCTGCTTCCCATCCATACACAATAGTGAGGAATGGAGACTAGTAGACAGGATGGGAAAGGGAGGACCCTGCCTGTCTCATCCCTTCCACGTGGTTAAACCCTAGATTAGCAATGGACTGATCCTGAATTCTAAAGAAATGTTATATATCAAGAACTTCAAACCCCTAAATGGAAACTGGATGAATCATTCCAAAATAGCAAATACTCAGATGTTAGGAACTTAAATACAACATCTTCAAATAGCATCAGCAAACAGAGGTCCTTACACACATAAATAACAATCACTAAGGCCTTTATTCTATTTGAAAATTGTGCTT